TGTCCGTGTGGCAATTTTTTTTCAACGCATATAGGATTTAAAATTTTTATAATGCCATCATGTACTCGTGAAGAATAAATAATGTAGTTTACGCGATTAGTACAAATTTAAAGAAAACACTTTAATAGTTAAAAACGCGATATATATTAGTTAAACTTAATTGAAAATTATTTCAACTACGGCCCGACGTTTCGGATGCTTTGCAGCAGCCGTGGTAACGGAGAGACTAAAGATGAAGGGTGTCTCTGACGTCACAGTAAAAAGTTTCTATGCTAGCACCATTTGTTTGGTCGAAATGTCGGGCCGTAGTTAAAATAATTTTCAAATAAGTTTTATTAACATATATCGCGTTTTAAAGCGTTGAAATTTATTTAAATGTGAAGAATATTAAAGTTTTCAAACACAAGAAATACAATTGAATACGTACTACGCTAGGCGTGGTGAATTTGTCTAGCGCTGGTAAACAGTTGGTAATAGTTACTATACGATAACAGGTCTTATTTAATAGCGTGGAAAATAGTATTCTTCACGGTCAAATGTGATTAGACAGAGGACTCCTAGGTACCAATAAGGCTGTTAGCAACTAAGGCAGATTACACACTATTTTATTCACGTTATTAATGGCCTTTTTAAATGTTTTTATAAAACTATTAATAACGTTCGATTTGTTTGACGCAAGACAATATTGAGACTGAGCTCTTTAGCGCAGGGTACTTTAACTGTGGCGAACAAAATATTCCACGAGCATTTTAAAAGATAAAATTCCCTTCAGAATGCGCGCGCGAGACAAGTATGTCTGATGGTTTTGAAAATATTTCTTCTTTATGCGCCTAAGTCTCAAGTAAAGGCATAGCGACAAAAACCTTATGTTTATCAAAAATACAGGACTTCAAACAGAAAAAATAAATTGCAATATTCGCACGTATTTTCATTTAGTTAAATAGGATATTTACATAAAACACTTTAACGGTTTAAAACACGATATATATTAGTTAAAATTATTTGAAATTTATTTTTACTACGGCCCGTTTCGGATGTGTCACAGCGGTGGTCACGGGGTTATTTAAATTTGTACTACTCGCGTAAACTACGCGCAGTATTTAAATAGGATATATTTATAATACAACAATGCCTCGTTAGTGTTTGGATTGATAATATACATACAAAAAAGGTCACATCATAATCGGTTCATAAAGTACGAAGTTATACCTGAACAAAGATAAGAAAGCGTAAATACGAGTCGAATTGAGAATCTACTTTTCTAAGTCGGTTAAAAATCATTAAATACATTTTAAAGGATATGCAAAAAAATATTCAAGTACACATTTCTATGGATATTAAACTATTTTTCACCATTGATCATTATATATAACAAGTAATAATTGTCGTGTATGTTAATTAACTCATTTAAGAATTTACACACTAATAAAAATAAAACAACAATAGTATTATTTGATGTCGTCAACTAGTTCCATTGTAAATTAGAAATAATTATCTCGTAAATCGATCGATTTGTTAGGTTCCATCAACAGGCTACAATAGGTCCTAAATTTTTATCTATTCGTGTAAATTAACTCGACAAATATTTAAAATAAACATTATGATCGTATGACGAATTATGTTACATACATAACATCAAAATCTTGCATCTTACTAAAATATCACGCCGCAGTTAAAATTATAAATACGTTATAAATACATTACGCGTTTTAAACCGTTGATTGCTCTATTCGAGTTACACGCGTAAACTACGGACATCTTTAGTTTTAAAAAATGATTTTCTATAACCGATATAAATGGAATATGCAAGTGTCCGTACGCGATATATTTTCTATGCATTTTCCAACTGGCCTCCATACTATGCATATATAAATACATTTTATATGCATAGACATTAGACTGTAGACTATGTTATAAAGTAAATGTTTCAGAATATAAATAACTGGCTGTGCCAGCGATTTCGTCCGCGTACACTAATTATTTGCGGCATCAGATTTCGTTTTTGCGAATTATAGCTTATATCAACATCGGCCGCGTCCCGTAGTTCTTGTAAATTAATCTTAATAGATAGACATATAGAGTCGGCCCACAAAGATGAAGAATTTTCCCCGTTATTTTCCACATTTTACATTGTTTCTCCTATTAGTCGTAGCGCTTGTTTTATAACCTATAGCCGTCTTCGATAAACGCTTTAACCAGCACAAAATTAATTTTTCAATTCACCCCAGTAGCTCTTGAGATAAGGGCATTCAAACAAACAGCTGTTTGATATAAGTATATAGATTATCAACGGAGAGTTTAATAAATCGTTATACCGCTCAATTTGCAGTGGAGTTCACGCTCCGGGTGTTACGAATGATAACTAAAGTCATAGCAGTATTTATTTTCATTCATACTTGTAATGAGATTTACATGCATAAAAAAATTCAATTTAGTTTAAGCCAGCGTTAATTATTTATTCTTTAGAATTTGCTTCATGGAAAAAATATTAATTTAATTTATAGGCGTCGCCCGACGGTAGAAATGAATGGCTGGAGGATGTACTTCGTAGGGCTTAGAGAAAATCGTCGTCATTAAGATATAAAATAAAATGATATAAATGCATGCTTTGAAATTTGATCATTATTTTTGCAACCTTTTCCGAGATAAGTCGAATTTGCTGTACTGGTTGAGGAGCGGCCGGCAATAGTTGTATGAAAGTCTCTATATTTCGTATTTAGCGCCCAAATAAATAAATATGTAAAACCATACTTGTCGTGTAATTTAAAATTGGAACGATCTTCTACTCCTCAACATGGCGACCAAAGAGGTAACTTATCAGAGGTTTAATTTAAATTTTGAACTGGCTTGCACATAGAAAGCTGCTTAGTGAAAAAAAAAAATATTTTGGAGCGTTCAAACTATTGTTGAAGTCTGTTGTACTACTTAGTTTTGATTTCCACCTATTATTCCTTCCCATAATAAACCTTGGCCAGAACTAGGCATTGATAGATGAACGTGTTAAACACATACGTTTCTCTTGCCGGCCGCTGTAGGAATATCCTATACCATACAGGTCACAGTGAAAAATATAAACGCCACGACTGTCACTACTTTAAACAAATTAAAAAAAATACAGCCCTCGGGGAATACTGGATCTAGTTATATTATGGTTTTTGTCAGTTTTTTTTTTTAATACAGGAGTACAAACAAACACTACCTTACTTGATTGAAAACTCCCGCCATATTGCATCTACAAGATGTGCTGTAGAACTAATTTGAATTGCATATAAGGAACAAATTATAACAAAACAAAGGCATTAAATTGAGTTAGAAGTTTTCACGTACAGCGCAAAATGCGTTTCGAGGTTTCAACGGGCAATCTTCGAACTTTGACCCCGGTTCGAACAATGGACATAAGTGTACACCCGATCGACGTGAACTTTCAGCGATATCATTAGGGTCGGTAGTCCAATTTCACAAGTACAGACGAACTGGGGAATAAAATCTACGTCTAGCAACTCATCGGGGACAAGAACCCCGGATGTGGACCTACTAGATAATATGGCAACACTACAGTCTTACAGCCGAATGGTTAAACGTATTGCCTAGCATTGCGTTAAACGCGAGAGGTCCTGGGTTCGAATCCCAAAGAAACAAAGATAGTTTCGGTCGGGCAGGGCACAGAAGTCTGATCAACTACTTGCCTGTTAAAGGAACGGATGAGTGAAACGGACACAGAAATGTGTTCGCCCCATGCCCCGTGGGGGAAACGGGCTTTCACTTTACAGTGTCCTATTCCGATAAATTTTAAAATAAAGCGTTTTGAACTGTTCGAAACGATGGTCAGTTGCTGTAAAGCAATCGTACCGTCGATTGGTAGGTGGTAGTTAGTTGGTGGTATTAAGATTCTTTTTAATACTGTCTGTAGTTTACGCGAGTAGTACACACTTAAATAAAACACTTTAACCGTTTAAAACGCGATAAAGTGAAATCCCGTTTCCCTCTCGTGGGACATGGGGCTAACACATTTTTATGTCCGTTTCACTGATCCGTTCTTTAACGGACAAGTAGTTGATCAGACTTCTGTGCCGTACCCGACCAAAACAATTTTCTGTTTCCCTGGGATTCGAACCAAGGACCTCTCGCGCTTAACGCAATGCTAGGCAATACGTTTAACCATTTAGCTACAGAGGCGGTCTACAAACGCGATATATATTAGTTAAACTTATATACATCGTGTTTTAAACCGATAGTGTTTAGTTTAATTGTGTTTTTTATTCATTCACGTATTTACAGATAACGCTAGTAGTAGTGGCAGCCGCGATAACGTCTTACCTTCAAGTGGGGACACTCAATTACTAATTAATATGTTTATTTAGTCTAGATAAGACAAAACTATAATTACATTGTGTTGTACGCATAACAATTGTATCATTGCGTCATGAAAGAATACTAAGTTAAAATAACGGATATATTTTGTATCTCATTGCCTTTGTGACTTTGAAAAGATTTACAAATAATAATTATACCAATAAATTTTTTAAGGCTGAGGCAGATGCGAAAACGGTTACCTAAAACATATATATGAAAGAATTATTCCTCTTTAAATGATCTAAAAAATGTCCACGACAGTATACGTCAAACATTTAAGATTAACTCGAAACGGGACGCGTACGACGGGATGCGAACATCGTGGGTAACAGCTATAACTTATAAAGCTGAGGAGGATGTTCGCAAAAACAAATTTTGACGCTCAAAATAACAATTCTATGCGCACGAAGTCAATCACATCTAGTTTGCGAATATTACTGCAGCACATTTCAAAACAGCGCCATACGTAAGGCTCGTTAAGAAGTGTTCGGGAAATTTACCAACAAAGTAACCGACTCATAAATACATTCCACTTCTCTATTGGCCATAAAGTGGAAGCTGATGAAATTAGATCAATATGGGGTTCCATGAGGAATAATTGAAAATACAAAGTGTATACATTGCTTCGTATTCATCTACGTACTCACCGCCTGACACGTTCTCCAAGGTGAAAGCGTTGAATCTCCATAGAACCGACTGCTGGAGGATGCACTGTACAAGAAGAAATTGATAATTTTAATATTTTCAAAATTGTCAAACTTTCGACGCGGGCAGGACTCGAACCGGCATCCGCAGCGTTCCCTACTGTAGCTCTATTCAAGGACTCGGTAGCTCAATTGGTTAGAGCAAAAGCACGGAACGCTGTGAATGCCGGTTCAAGTCCTGCCCGAGTCGTAAATTTGTTCAAAGAACACAAATTAATACGTTAACGCTTACATATATAACAAAGTCGTTTAGTTCGCATGCTTATGTCAATATATAGAACTTTCTTTCGCTAAAGCCGTCATTAAGGTGACATCGACATTGCAAAAACGAATTTAAAGGGCGTCGAGTTATCTACTATATTATGTTGTAAATAATATTCAAGTAGTAAAAAGTATTCTCCGTAGGTGACGCAAGTATACCACATTAACAAAACACTTTTGACGATTTAAAACGCGATATGTATTAATTACTTATTTACAATATAACTACGGCCATGTGACCACCGTTAAAAGTGTTTTATTAAATACTAGTAGTCATTTTGTTGCAACCAAATTGTTATGTTCGATTCTATTTATATTGGTTTATTAAAAGAAACCATTTTTTGCAATAGGTTTTTGACATGAGTTGCGGCTGTAAATTAAAGCATGTAATTTCGTTTGATTGATAAAGATTATTTATAAATAAAACACTTAAACGGTTTAAATCGCGATATGTATTAGTTAAACTTATTTGAAGAGTCGGTCAGACAAGTCATGTGCCTTCCACCACCATGGCTGCTGCGAGGCATCTAAAACGTCGGGCCGTAGTTAAAATATTTTTTAAATACGTTTAACTAATATATATCGCGTTTTAAACCGTTTGAGTGTTTTATTTAATTTAATTTTTATTTTATACTTATTTTTACATCACTGTTCCACTATATAGAACGGCGTCAATAAAACTAACAGAACTTCGCAAGGCAAGTACAATATAGAACAATGTCAACGTCCTTTACATACAGTTGGCTCCGAGCTAGACTTGGCGCACTATCAATGACCAAAATGCATCGGAAAATATTCCCACTTTGTCAACAAGCACGCACAGACAAATCCAATATCAGCTCTATTACTGACACAGTAGAGTACAAATTCCAACAACGCAGCGAGCGCATCGCTGAAAACATTTTACATTAATGCACTTCTATCGACTTCCTCGTCCTAATGATTTATTAAGGCGAAAGAAAAATCCGATTTTTAAGAAATTCTCCATAAAAATCACGAACTAGGTCTTTGACTCTCTGCTACATATCTTAGATGCTCATATTATAAAGCTGAAGAGTTTGTTTGTTTCGTTGAACGGGAAGAGTTAAATCAGTAACGGTTGTCAACACAAATTTTGTGGTAGTAAGTAGTAAGCCGTGCTGGAGCAGCATGGTGGGGTATCTGTGGGGCATTAATAGGTCGATATATAGTTAAATTATTGAATGAAGAAATAATTAAAAAATAATAATTAAATTAGGATTTAAAAACTGTCTGTATAATAGTACACATTCATACAAAATACTTTAACGGTAAAACGCAATAATATATTTACTAAACTTATTTGATTACTACGCTACGAGCTACGGCCCAACGTTATGGGTGTTCCGGAGCAGCCGTGGTCACGTGGCCGTAGGTTAAATAATGTTCAAATAAGTTTAACTAATATAATATTGCGTTTTAAACAGTCAAATTGTTTTGTTTTGTTTATAGTATTGCATTTATTTTAAAGTCTTAGTTTATAAAGCATTGTTTCTCTAGAACCCAAGCGTATTAGTAGTAACGTTATGCTGTGTGTACTGTTTTAGTTGCCACTTTTTAATTTAAAAAAATATGTAGATAAGTCCAATTTAGTTCTGAGATTTTGTGTGCATTATAAATAAATAGTTGTTATTTACTTATTGCAAAAATAGATGACGCAGTAAACACATAAATATGTACCCGGCATTAACGTTAATGTTTAATTTAGATCAACATCGGTAGCCACACTTGGCTGAAGCGTGTAAACAAATAAATCTAATATTTTATTGCTAATACTTTAAATATTGCTAATCGCAATGGATGGGCAGTAGTATTTCTGAAGCGAAACATCGGGCCCTACAATTATTACATCAGTGTTATAGGAAATCGTTTGTCTAAACATTTTATAACCTAAGTCTCGGTGAAATAGAATGATCTTATATCTGTTCGTATGTCTGTTCATCTATGTAAGTTATTGACGTGCACGTTGGTCCAATGTAGAAATGATGCGTAACAATCTACTAGTCTTGGTTTCCAACTTCGTCTGGAAATCTGGTTAAATGGGTGGTAGGAATATCTTAATTGAAATTGAATTGCGTTGTGTAAATCTATGGATTTCCGAATATCCAATACTATACTCAGAAGATAGTGGCTTGTGAATCAAACGTGCCTAAAAATATATTAATACACCTTCCCTAACTGTTAAGTGAGTTAGTGTTAATTTCTAGTTTAAATGTTCATTTTATTGTATTGTACTTTGCCCCTTGACATTTGCTTCTTTACTGTACTTGTACTGTAACTTTTGTTTTTCTTTCCACATGCAAAGGTTGCGTTGAAGAAATTGCCATAGGTGATAAGGCCGCCTTTGCATAAATATATTTATTTGTTTTAATTATTTTAAGTAAATATGTTTGTGCATAAAAGAGTTTTATTATTATAGAAAACATATCTTGTAGACTTCAAATCTTCGGCCAATTTCTATTATCTATTATATAAAACACTTTAACGGTTTAAAACGCGATATATTAGTTAAACTTATTTGAAAATAATTTTTAAATATGGCATGACGTTTCGGATGCTCTGCAGTTTTATATAAATGTGTACAACTCGCGTAAACTATAAACAGTATCCAATCTCTATTATTCAATAGCGAACGAGAAATCCTTTGCACGCCCGCCAACACCTTGACCACAGTCGCATCCTAATGTGTTTTCCGAGTACACAAGCATACAGACAACGACTTGCCTTATGAATACTAACAAATGGCATTAAAATTTTGACAGCCAAGTATTTGAAGGACAGCCTAATGACCAAGGCAAATGCAATAAGAGCCGTGACAATTAGCGTTTTCCTTTGTTTGATTCCAGCTGAACGATATTGTCTGTTTTTTGGAGATTTCCACTTGTATGATGTGTACCACCGTGGTGGCTCAATGCACGATTCGAAGAAATATGTATTCCTCTTCTTCATCTTCCCCCGTCGTTGCAAATCTTTATAGCATAGACATATACTGTCGCAGACAGTTTTTTGATCATTTAAAGAGGAATCATCATTTTAGATATCTTGAACCGTTTTCACAGCGATCGCATCAGAAACCCATAAATAATTTTCACCGTTCTTTTTTCACATTTCCCGCTGTTCCTTCGCTTCTATTAGTCACAACGCAATATTTTAGAGCCCAAAGCATTTCTCAATAAATGCTCTAAACAGCACAATAAGGATTTTTCAATGCGAACCAGTAGTTCCTGAGATTAGCGCGTTCAAACGAACAAACTCTTCAGATCATAGATTACTTAGTTGAGAGCGAAGACATTTCAACTTCAAACTTCGGAGCAACGGCGCAGCTCTTACAAAAATATAGAGATAATTTAAATATCTATTTAGATAAAAAATTACGATGCTGGCGGGGCATGAACCAGCATCCACAGCGTTACGTACTGCTTATCTAACCATACCAACCAGCTACCGTGTTCTATATAAATTAACACAATATGTGCAACAGAATATTAAAGATTTAAAAAATATTCACACGTATTGACTGAAACATCTAACAGTCCTGTAAGTATTAATGTGAGACTTGACATGGAATAAATCTTATGTCACTTAGTCGAGAATTGCCCCCGACGAACCCGCCAACACTCCGCAAACCATGTCTAACATTTTAAAGTATTATAGGGCCCGAACCAGGCTCTAGCCAAAAAAGCAACATCAATCCTAAGAGTCGTGGAAAAACTTAATTAGAAGAAAACTATTCCCTTTTTGAAAATGGATGACAAAAGCGCTGTGACCATATATAACATACGCTACATATAAAACTGTTTAGAGATTTTTCATTTAATTCAACGTAGAGTACGTTGATCAATATGCCTAATAATCCCTTCGGCGTTGCTTAAGAACCGAACAACATTGATCTAGAAATAATAGAGGATGAATTCCGAATATCGAAGGCCAAAATAGGCAGCGCACCTTGTAGATGTTATATGGGTGGGGTATATCACGTCCTATCGAGTAAACCCCATGTTGTCCTCCTATATCATTAAAAAAATGTCTAAAATAGAGCTACTGCTGTGTGGCACCATCCAAGGCCTATAAAACTTTCGCTGAATTGCAAGACAATCGCATTGATCACGCCGGCCATAAAATGCTTTGCGACTTACGTTAACGAATACATAAGAGCAGGTTTATTCGTCACTCCACTTGCCTGCACTTGTCCTTGCAGTAGGTCGTCCAGCAGTGCCGACTCCTGGCTTAGGGACCTGGTGAGGAGGCGCTTCCTCCGCCGCTTGTGCATCGTGAGGAAGCGGCCCGTGCACACAGAATGCTTCGCCATGTTCTCTATATCTCTCGCGTCCAGTAGTTGCCGCCGCGGCTGTTCGACTTGCACTAAAACAAAATAAATATGCTTATTTATTTATTCTTAAAGGCTTGTCAACTAAATGCTTATGCTTATATTTACAAAACAATATAGTTTAGTTTATACAAACTAACACATACGTATTTAACTTACAGACAAGCACCTTCCTTATTTATAACACAGGGGAAATAGTATAAATTACTATATACATATAAGTATTATACGTAACATAAAAATACATATATGTATATTTATTAATATAACAATTTAGTTAGACATAATGGAATGAAAGTTTTTTATATTTAGCAATGTTTGAGAACAGGTCCAGATTGTTGTTACAATTGACACTGTTGTAATTTTTTAGAGCGAATTGCGCGGGATAGTTGAGACTATAGTTCCTTTTCGCCTGTTCTAAGTACATTGGAGAGTAAGTCATCAAGCGAGCATAGGCCATTATCGTTTTTTAGTATCTTGTGTATGCAAACTAGTGATTTGTCTCGGCGTATTTCTAATAATGTGATAATTGATTTATATAACTAGAAGATAACCTTTCTTAACACCTGTAGTGTATAAAAATAATGCATTTTATATTATTCTTAGCGTATATGCCACAAACATGCTTACGTCTAAACTTACTTTACAATACGTAGATTCTTATTTGCATCCTTAAGAGCTACTTGAAGTTTGTACTGACATAATTGTCAGGATTATATAGTGGATCGACTTAAGATTATTTCGTAGCTTACAAGTATTAAGTACAGTGTATGCAATTCGTTAGTTAGTTCATTTAGTTATATAAGGATCTTAGCGACACGCCCCGGCTTCGCTCGGGTGTAATGCTGATACTAAATACAGTACAGAAAAATCATGAACGTTGAGAACCTTCCTCTTGAATCACTCTATATATTATGACCGCATCAAAATCTGTAGCGTGGTTTTAAAGATTTAATCGTTCATAGGGACACGTAAAAGTTGCTTTGTTTTGTACAATCGCGACACGTAACTTAACGCGAGTGGCTTTTTACGAACCGGCTCAATCTATGCGGGCTGAACTCAAAATTACCGCGTACCCGTAATATTTCGCCCAGACCATTATCTCATTTTCTCACCTCCGTTGACTACACACTTTAATAAAAAAAACCTCTAACAACATCGCCTACCCCGCGATCGATCGACGTCTTCCTACACTTTAATTCTATTCTTATCTTGCCCACTTGGGCGTTAATATTGAAGCTTGTAAATAATTAACGCTACAGACCGCGGGATCTTTGTGAAATTCTGAAAATTACAGGAAAACACTTCGCGTTGTCCAAATTCGTCACGGTTACGCCGCGTTAAATATTCCGACAGTAATAACACTGGGCGGGACATTAAAATCAGAGATGGCAATGAGCAATTCCACGATTGAACATTTTAGAAATAGATATAAATAGATCGTAAAGAGATAGCGCAACTAGTGATGTGTTGATTATATCGACAACTCTATGAAAGTTGACATGCAACTTCGAACGTGCACCAAAGGACCGATCATTTTTTTTTGTTTTATCATCATTACCTTAAATTGAATCTATGATAATATATAAAACTAAAAAGTTTGTTTGTTTGAACGCGCTAATCTCTAGCTAAAGAAATGTGGAAAAAACAAAGAAAATTATTCATCTTTCTGTTTCCGGTGCATACGCTGAGAAAACGGTTCATGATACTGAAAAAATATGAAAAAAAAGAATTCCTCTTTATAGTATCGAAAAATGTCCGAGACAGTTATGTATATGTTTTAAGATTAACTTGTAAGAACGACGGGACGCGACCGACGTCGTGGGTAACAGCTTAAATTAAAAGATGAAGAGGTTTGCGAAAACAAATTTGGAATCCAAAATCACTATTCAACGCTAACGAAGTCGCTGACACAGCAAGTGCAGTATATTCGTTTTGTTTTACTACCATTAACCTGCATCTTAAAATTTGTAGATTTTATTTTGTGTATATCAAATAAGTGGATGAACTAAGTGTTTAAAGAGTAATGTTTTTAGTTAGCATTCCTCTCTTTCTTTTTATTTGCTGCAAACCTAAATACTGTCTATAGTTTACGCTAGTAGTGCACATTTAAATAAAACACTAACGGTTTGCGTGGTCACGGCTGTTGCAAAGCATCCGACACGTCGGGCCGAAGTTAAAAAACATTTTCTATTAAGTTGAACTAATATATCGCGTTTTAAACCGTTAAAGTGTTTTATTTAAATGCTGCAAACCTGTTAACCCGTTTCCCATTTACAGAGTACATTAGGTTATATAACTCTCAGTGTGTCCGCATTAAAACATAAGATTAAGCAAAATCGTATTTACACTTTGACTCTCAGACTAAATAAAAATCACTCGAGCGCATTGCGGAGATATTCGCGAAAATTTTCACGGCTACAACACTAATCCGTATTGGCATTTATCAGTCGGTGTTGACTGATCGTTGATAAGACCGGCAAAAGCATGTATATATCAGTCGCGTCAACAAACACATTTTAAGCTGCGCGCGAGCTAACGCGATCACTTTGCGGTCGTAAAATAGAACAAAATTTAAAATTTCATTGTTTTCGAATATTGACGGGCTCGGGTTCGATCCCCACCGGGTCCAATATGTTTGTGATTTTAAAATTTATAGCTTATCTCAAACACTTTAATTATAGATGAGAACAGACATGGCACTCTTCACATGGTTAACTTGATTGTAGGTGATATAACCCAGCCTATAGCATCTAAACAAGATGCGTTGTCGGCCATCTTTTTTTAAGTAGAACCTGAATTTCTTTCTTTCAACGCGTTTCTACAACCAAACATCAGCTTTATAATATTAGTATAAAACAATCACACATCAATTACGCTTCTAAAAGCTCCATCGGCGATAAACACGAACAGAGTTATGTAATGATGAAATATATATTTTTTGTAATCAAGTATTCCACAACCATTCGACGCACGTTAGAATGCACGGCCGCACTACGCAACTGTCTTAATACCTTATTACATATTCATAATGCGTCTCACTCACATCGAGAAATTCACCAATAACTATTAATGTAGCAATATATTACGAGAGGAGTGCACTGCGATGTGTACTTATATATTAACTAGCTGTGTCAGCGACTTCGTCCGCGAGAATCGTTATTTAAGGCATCTTTATAAACTTACGCTCTTACCCACGAAGGTGACCGCGGCCCGTCGTTTTTGCAAGTTAATCTTAAAAGATAGACAAATATAATCATATAGGGAGGATTAATTCTTTCATACATATTTTTTGGGTATCTTGAACCGTTTTCGCAGCGTACGGACTGGAACCCGTCTAAGATGAATAATTTTCCCAATTTGTTTTTTACACTTTTCGCTGTATCTTGGCTTGTATTAGTCACAAGGCGATGTTCTCCTCCTCGGTAAATGCTCTAACCAATACAGAAATAATTCTTCAGTTCGAACCCATAGTTCCTGAGATTAGCGCGTTCAAACATACAAACAAACTCTTCAACTTTATATATTAGTATAGATAGATATCTGCTCATTATGAGCAGATTCCCTGCCTCATTAAATCGTATTAGCGTGTGCTCCATTGCTCGAAATCAGAGGCGTTCGCTGTTTTCTTGCAAAGGACTGAGCTTACATATATATACTAATATATAAAGCTGAACAGTTTGTCTGTTTGAACGCGCTAATCTCAGGAACTACTGGTTTATAGGTGTGGCATTTATTAAAGCGAAGAAAACGATAATGATAAATGTGAAACAAACGAAAAAAAAAACTTTTTTGAGAGGTTCCGTTGCGTGCGTTATAACAACGGTCCACGAAACCAAAAGATATGTATAAAATAATGATCCCTCACTAAATGATCTAAAATTTCTTTTAAGATTAACGCACTAGAACCGTTTTTATCTTAATGGAATTTGGTTGATGCATTACCAATTATTTATAAACGGCGTCAAAAAAATCGTACCTTTTGAAATTAATAAATAAGTATTATTCAAGCGAATATTACTTATTTATTGTACCCTACCAAAATTAATATCATTTGAAACCACATTAAAACACTTATCGTTCGTTCAAGCGCGTCAAAAACGTTAGGTTCTTTAAAAAAAGTGCTAAAAAGCTCATTAGAGGACTCACTACTTGTGCACGAATAAAAAGGGGCGGGGGAGGGGGGGGGGAATAAAATAAATATAGGTCTTTAGCTATCCAGACATCACAGTAGTCACACCTGAACAGCTCAAGTAAGAAAAAATCCCAAAAAATGGATACCACGGCAGAAGAAGCAGCTCAAGTGTAGCACTACTGCCATCAGGACTACGCCAAGTTAATATTTCTCGACAACTCAACATTTCAGTTTCAGCCGAAATACCAATTATCCAAAGTCGAAATAGGTCGACAGACTACCAACCAAGTAAAGATAGGACATGTTAAATAATATTGCCGGCTGAAATCCAACTAACATACTGTCCGAAGAATACAAGGGAAACGGCTACATTTGTTTGCTGAAATTGAAGCCGAAATATTTTGCGGAACAAGCAGCAATGCACTCCAATTTTAAGTTTCCTTTCTATCGACAGCAAGTAGGATTTTAGTAGCAATTTCTTATTTAGATTTTTACGTTTGTACGAATAGTGATTCCCACAAATTTAACTACGGCCGGATGTTTCAGCTTCCAAAACATCCGGGCCTGAGTTAATTTTTTTTTTGACTTCACCTTTTTCTTCAATTTAAGCTTTTAATAACAATTATTTTTAAATAAAACACTTTAACGGTTTAAAACGCGATATATTAGTTAAACTTATTTCAAAATGCTTTTTAACTTCCGCCCGACGTTTCGCATGCTTTGCAGCAGCCATGGTCACGGGGAAACTCCAATCTCTATAATAATAATAAGTTCTAACCAAGACGGTACAATGACGATCGATTACTTACAATTCGTTGCTTCGTACAAGTTGTGGTCTATTTTAGTTCTAGTATTAGCCGCGATAAATCCACAACACATAAGCTAGCGTCGGTACACGCT